AGCAAACAAAACCAAAAAAAGAAGGGGAAAAAAACGAAAAAAACAAACAAAAAACAACTCCCCACAAAATCTGCTTTTTGCAATTTTGAGTTTTTCTGAGTTCATATGCGTAAAATCTCTCCTGGAACAGAGCGCAACTGCTATATACTGGTAAAGCATATATACCTCGAACTCAAAGCTATTTCTGACATTCTGAATTGAAAAAGCTTCCTGGATGGGAACCGAAACGTCTTCAAACTTGGAAACAAAGTCCAGTGGATTGTAATTTTCTTTTTTCGGAGCGCAACTGCTACTTGAAAACTTGGATATTTGGTGTCTGATATGACTGTAAGCCTAATAATTATGAATCACATATTTATACTTGCGTGTCTCTTCATGCATAGCCTACTTAACTCTAATATTGAATGTTTGAACTCACCTCATTGATGTGTAAGGTAGGCTCAGAGTCCGGGAGTATAACACACTGCACAGGGCTATTAGGAGAAGCAGGTGAGGGCCGGTCCGTTGAACCATCGCTTTACACCTGAGAATGATAATGGAGTCATTTATAAGTTTTTAAGTTTTTCCTTTTCTAAAAAAAAAGCTGTTCAATACCAATAAAAGGTGCAAAAAGAAGGAAAAATATAAAACAAGAAGAGTTTTGACTAATCAAAACAGTTAAACCAACAGAAGCTTTAAATTCGCTCACTTTATGTTAATTTGTACTGATGTTACATAAACGCATCTTAAGCGTAATTACGCACGGTACTGTGAAAGCATAAATGGACGGTTATATATGAAGAATCAATTTCCATGTAAGCTTTTGATTAAAATTCCAGACTTTTACCTAAAAATGTGCTGAGGAACCGTGTGCATACTTAGATTTCTTTGTTTTCTTTTGTTTGTTTGGCTTTTTGGGGCGTAATGATATAGTTCTGATTTATCAAAATATAAGATTTCTAGCGTAGATTAAACTGTTTGATAGGTTGAGTTACTGTTTACTAATAAACTTTAGAGATAATAATTCGGACAAAAAACAACAATAATAATCCTAGATTTAGCGCGCATTTACGCACGGTAGGAACAACAGCGAGCCAATTTGACAAGAAAGCGGAGAAATGTCACACTTTGTCCTGGATATATAGTGTGTCCTTAATCCATTAAGAACATTTCAAATACAGTGAAACCCAACAAGTTATATTAGAAGTATTCTCCAAATTCTCACTTGAGCAAAAGCAGAAAGTGATACATTTTTTCTAGACATAAAAATTCTTACATTTGTTCTGCAGAAAGTTGTTTTCTTCGGGTCTTCAGCTCCTGATCCTTAACAGCTGTTTGTAGAACCACCTCTGCTGATCCAGGCTGCCTCTGTCTGTCTGTTCTTGCTCGCCTTCAGTTCTGCTCCCGTTTTATACACCTGGATGATTCTCGCTTGCAGGAGGGGGGGACATGAGCTTCATCTGCAGCTGGAGACGTCAGAGGGTCAGTGCTTCCGTCATTGGACTGGCTCACGGTCGGAACCAAAGAGGCCATGTGGAGAGATTAGTCGGAAGTTTTACTCTGTGTTTTCCAATTAGTTGTCAGGATAAATTAAAATGTCTTATAGGTTTAAATCAGAATGAATCCACCCTTAATTTAAAGAAGCTGTGACTTGAAGTAATATTTGGAGCAGGGCACAAGAGAGAGGGAAGAAGAGAAGCCAATGTCAAAGTATCTCCAAATCAGCAACTTTACATTTTCATGTAAAATAAGGTATTGGATGGAGTTACGTATTCCATATATGATCAGGTGACATATTTGCATTTGAAACTGTCGCTCTCTGTTGCATTGTCTCTATGCCTGCTCACAAGCCATGCAGTATTATATTCTCTGTATTTTTTACCCTCACCTGCTGTATTATAAGTTTTCACCTTTGGCATATAGATTGTCATCGTACAATTGGTCCGCTCTCGGTAATCACCAACCAATCACTTGAAAAATTTGTAATACATCTTTTAAAATGTCCTTTGTGCTTAGCTAACCGATCTGGTCCCCTGTATTTTATTTTACAGTCACCTAAACCATATTACCAGAGGCAAACTGCTCAGCCTTCCAGATAAAAAAACTCTGGTGTTCAAATTACTTTTTTGGCAATGGGTAAATAAAGTACAGGGCCTGGGTATGAAGACACTTCACAAATATTTTCAAAAGAATGAGTTGTTCTCATGAGCTCAGTGAATTGAAAAACATCATGGTACACCATGCACAAGCACAGAGTGGGGTAGTGGATGAGCTAATTATGCAAAGGTCTCAAAAATTCTTCAAAGTCCATGGCTGCAGGCCTCAGCTTGACTTAGCCCTTTAAAGTCAAGTGTTTCATGTTTGTAATATGGTTTTTTGAGACCTCTGCAGCATCACTGTGATCTTTTTGTTCTTGAAAATTGTTCTTGACTTAAGCAATCAGAAACATGAAGAGAACAGAAAACATAATAAAATATGTATATTATATAATATATAATAATAAATAAACATGAAAAGCGTGAGGCAGAAAACTGTGTTGTAGTCTAGTGGTTTAGACTCATCTGTCTCCGGCGTGTCTCCTAGAGTGGAGGAAATTATTTTGCATAGATAATTTGTTTCTACAGAACAATTTCTGACTATAGTAGCTAAGGCTGCATGATATCTAAAAATCATGCATTCAGCTGACAATATCAGTAGTAATTAAGTTAGATTTTCCAACATCCTACCTCTCATGTGTGCTGCTATGTGTCTCTTTGGCCTTTAGGATGATGGGCATTATAACCAGTGTCATATATTTGCTTCTACTACAGTTTGAATTCCATCAACAACATGATGATCTTATTGTGAGGGAAGGTTTGAACTCAGGACCCTTGGAATATACTTTCCCAGGATTTGTGAAGTCATAACAAACCCTCATATTCATACCATGCAAAAATATTGCAATGCCTGTATACTTTTTCCATGACGCCATCTATGGGCTCATCTTCAAGATAACAATTTAATTCAGCCCTCTTTAAAACCATGTCCATGAGCTAAATTAATAGTGTTGAATCCCTGATGGTGGCATGTTAAAACAATCAAGGAGAGACAATGACTTTTCTTTCCCTGGAAAATGATAGGCACACAAAAAGCCTTCTCACTTTCCCTTGCTCCTTTCTGCAGGAGTCTCTTTTCTGCCATGAATCAAGCACATTTGTACTCAGGTCCTTCTCTCTGTTAATCAGTGAGTGTGTCTTTTATTTGTCAGCATATGGCTTTAGACCTTAAGATGGTGTTGGACATGTTTCTTCCATTAACTGAGATCAGAAAGCATATACTGGTTTCAGAAGGCTCAGAACATTGGATCCAGAATACAAACAGACAGGCCAGGGTTAATTCACAAGCAAGCATTTATTCTCTGCTCAGCGCACAGTGGCTCAACAGCTGTGGCAAGTTCACTGGATCCTCTGGTTAAGAGTTCAATCTGAGCCCAGAGGAAGGATTTGAATCCTGATTGATTGTTTCTCCACAGCATACGGCGGAAGCCGCCTACAGAGTTCCAGGAAAGAAGCAGAAAAGACTGATGAGCAGAAGCCAGTAGACGCGGACGAGCAGAGGAATCCGGAGTGATAATCAAAAGGCAGAAAAGAAGCAGCAGCAGGTTTCCAGGCCAGAAGATCAGAGAGCCAAAAAGGTACTGAAGGAGTATCCAGGGGTCAGGAGACAGGTCCAAGGTCGTTTAGCAGGCAGAAACCAGGAATCTGTCCAAAAAAAAAGATAAGGCAAACAGAGTAGAAACACGGGCAAAACAAAACTCAGAAGTCCAAAGGCAGAAAACTTGTGAGGATCAGGAAATCAGAAACATACCAGATTGCTAGAGTTACTCTCACACATATCTCGAGAGTAATGTGGCGTTGATGGCTGGGAAACAGGCAGCTTAAATAGGAAATGAGAACAGGTGGATCTGATAAGTGATGAGGAACAGGGCAGATGTTGACAGGTGAATGAAATGAGCAATCAAGCCAGCCAACAGTGCCAAAATCATGACAGATGTGACAAGTGGCAGGGCTCACACCAAGGAGGAACAATTTGTTTGTAAGTCTCTGGAAAACTATGGTTGCCTTGGCTTCAGGTTGTTGCCCTTAGCGTCCACATTTCTTACTCCAACCATTCATGATATTTATTCTTTAATCATCCCACCTGTTATTCATCACGTAATCACCCTCCCCTATGTAAATGTCTCAGATCTTCCTGATCACACATCTGTTACATTCTTGTTTTCTCTGGTCACCAATGCTGCCCACCAATGCTGGTGACAACATTTTCAATACGTTTGGCTATATCAATAACTCATTGTTGCCTCCTCCTTACTCCCCTGTACCTGAACTACATCACCAAAGAGGTGAAATCAAAATTGCAAAAAACAAAAACAAAAAAAACACATGTTAGTCCTTTTAATTGTAATGGACACAATTTGTGAAAACCTATAGGCATATAAATATAATTTATGATAAAGATTCAGTCAAATTTTGGTTTGGTCTTTACTAAATATCAAAGTAACAGTTTGAACACTAAGAATTTTAACCTTTCAAGATAGCTGTAATCAGTGTATTTTTGGCTGTTTTTCACAGACCATACTAAAAGGATCCATTTCAATCTATTTTTTTCTTTCTACTGTTCTTGCTTCTCAACAACATAAATACTTCATTCAGCAACAATGTCAACAAAATCCTCTAATTCTCTCACCTTCTCTGCTACATCCATTTATTCATAAAGCAAAGTGGGCTCTGTACACACAAATCTTTGAAATTACCAACCCAGATAAATGCAGCTAAGCATTTTACACCCAAAGACACTGTTGCTTTTTTATTTTTTTATTTGAGCTTTTAGGAAAGAACCAACCAGGCTGGGATTGGAGTGTTTCTGAGTCCACCCACAGTGTTCTCGATGAGCCTGGTTTGTTTTGCAGGAACAGCACAGGGAAACAGCTGTGACGTCAGCTAGCGCCTCATCCGCACGTCCTGCCGTCTCTCCGTCCAACCATCCATCCATCCATCTTTCCATCCATCCAAATGAGTGTGAACCATTTAGCTTAAATCACTGCAGAGGAAAAAATTATGACAGATGGTAACATGGGAGATACATGGGGGATAAGAGGGACTTTTTCTCTAGCAAAGTATACATATTATAAATTACAATAAATCTCATAAATGACAGATACAGTTTATTCTCACTATTATCAACTAAAGCAGACTGTATTCAACATTTGTCAAATAAATTAGCACCTGTGGTAAAAATGTATAAATGAATGAATGAACCTGCTATTGCAGCATAACCTCAGAATGCAAGATTAAGTCAAATCAGACAATTTATTTGAGTAAATTTATTCAAAGAGGAAATACTGACACACTGAGAAATAGTTTCTTACAAAATCAAAGCTAGCACAATTAAAATGTATTTATCATACGCCATTATTTATCTTGCCATCACACATAGATGGTAAGAGAGTTAACTCCCCCAAAAATGATCTAAATCTTACTGTTTGAGGTCAGCAGCAAAGAAACATGTTATGAGAACTTGGTCATTTGAATATGTCAAAGCTATGCCAACTGGTTATATTAGAAGGATGCTGATAGAAAACCTCTCTTGTGATATTACAACGATTGTATACATTTGGAGTTTGCTGAATATGACAACCATATGACTTGGTTGGTCTTGTGTCAAACATAGGATTAAAATCTGAAAAAGCTCTTTAATTATGTTGAAGGATCTAAAGGCATGAACCATGGCTGAATACTTGGCCTTAAACCTCAATATGCCAAGTATTACAAAAATGAAATTTGTAATAATAATTTGGTCGGCTAAAAATGGGTCATCATTGGCTTTTCAATAGGGGAGTGATCCAAAATATGGGGCCAAATCAGCACAGAAAGAAAGAAAATTAACTCTTAACCAAAATTAGATGTAATGTCCTGATGCCGTCTGTCATGTTGGTTTGTAGTTTTCTTGGCCACAAGTAGAATAAAATAGAAGGCCAGTGGATTTTAGTGTTTTATTTATAAAAAGCAACAAGAATCTTGAAGCTGAGACTGTAGGAAGTCAGTTGAACTTTCTGGTCTGGTTCGGTAGCATGGGTCTGTAGGGTTTAATTCAGCTGGCATTACAGACTGTACCCCAGACGTCCAGGAGAATGTAAGTGAGATCCAAGAGGGTTGGTACTTGAAAGAGACATGGTTCTGCAGAGCGGGTAGGCAGATGACGAAGACTAAGAACAGCTCCACATTAAAAGAGATTCACAAGAAGACACATTTCCACAAGTAGGATATTCCTGGTTTAGGTCTTTGGCTGGAATACCATCAGGGGTAATCATCCAAAATTAAGACATGATCCTTTGCTTCCTTATAC